TCTTGACAGAAGTAATCTTAGCAACAGGTGAGAATGTGTCACAGTAATCAATACCATAAACCTGTGTGTATCCCTTGGAAACCACTCTAGCTTTGAAACGTTCAACTACACCATCAGGTAAGAATTTGGTTTTATAAACCCACTTTGAGCCAATAGGCTTAACCCCCTCGGGCAAGTCAGTGATATCCCAAGTCCTATTCTGATCAAGAGCATAAATTTCTTCATTCATAGCCCTGTTCCAACGTTCATCCTTAGCTGCTTCAGCATAGGAAGTTGGCTCTTGATTAGAAAGAATGGTCAAGGCAAAGTGTTGTTGAGACACAGGCAGATGGGACAGATCTGCAGAAAGTGGACCAGACTTGGGAGTAACACTGACTTGATGCATACCTACATAAAAGCCATCATATTTGCGAGGAAAAATGGGTACCCTTGTGGATTTCCTGAGAGGAATGACAGGAGGGGAACTGGAGGAAGGAGTGGACACAGAGGAAGGGGAAAGAGGAACATTGGGAGCAGCAGGAGATGAAATTGGTGTGGATGTAGTGGACTGGACAGGAACTACAGCAGGAGGAGAAAACACTGTAGGAGAGGGATCAATAACAGGATGATCTGAAGAAGAAGAAGGATCATCATCATAAAACAAAGGAGAAGAAGCAGCTGGTGCATCAGCAGTGGGAATAGATGGACCAGCTGTGGAAGGGGAAGGTGCATCAGAAGAGTCCTTGAAAGGGAAAATGTTTTCATGAAAGAAAACATCTCTACTGATGAAGACCTTCCTTGTGTCTAAGCAAAGCAATTTGAAACCTTTAATACCATTGGGAATGCCTAGGAAAACACACTTAAGGGCTCTAGGAGCAAATTTAGTTTTGTGGCCAGTGACATTAGTTGCATATGCAAGGCAACCAAAGACCCTTAAGTTCATGTAGTCAGGGGGCACATGGTATAGGATCTCAAATGGAGACTTGTGTTGCAAAAGAGGAGTAGGGATTCGATTGATTAAATAGGCAGCATGTAATACAAAATCCCCCCAGTAAGTTAATGGTAGGCCAGATTGGAACTTTAAGGATTTGGCAACATTTAACAGGTGTTGGTGCTTTCTCTCAACTCTACCATTTTGTTGAGCAGTATACACACAGCTCATCTCATGTACAATACCATGAGTTCTATAGAAATCAACAAGATGAAATTCTTGGCCTTGGTCTGAACGAATGACCTTAATGGAAGTGGAAAATTGGTTGTGAACCATTAGACAGAAGGATTGAAGAATGGAATAAGCTTCTGATTTGTGCTTCATTAGAAAAACCCAGACAGCTCTGCTGTGATCATCTACCACAGTCAGAAAATAGGAAAAACCATCTCTGGACAAGGTGTTAATGGCCCCCAAATGTCGACATGAACTAAATCAAAAGGAGAAGAACTGACATAGGTGCTAACAGGAAATGGTAGTCTCTTCTGTTTGGACAAATGACACACCTCACAATGCTTGTTCAAAAATAAGGAAACATCATTACAAGTGTCTTTAATTAATCTCATCCTAGACAGGGAAGGATGGCCTAGTCTAGCATGCCAAATATCAGAATCTTGAGATGAAGGTTGGTGAACTCCTGCTGCAAAACGTCGAGGGGAAGTATGGGAAGCAAGCTGTTGAGAAGGGGAATCAGAGAACAGATATAGGCCTCTATCCACCTGGGCTAAACCAATCCTCCTCCGAGTAATAAGGTCCTGAATTAGGCAAACATTGGATTTAAAAACCAATGAGACTGGGTGATTTTTGGTAAGTCTACTTACAGAAACAAGATTGTAAGTAAAAGCTGGAACAAAGAGGACTTGAGTAAGGAATAATCCACAAGGTAAACGCACTATTCCTATATGAGTTGCATGAACATGATGGCCATTAGGTAAGGTAACATTCACATCTGTAATAGGCATTCTTTTAATGAAAGAACTGATATCACAGATAATGTGATCTGTGGCACCAGTGTCCAATATCCAGACAGTTGGTGGGAATGGAGCAGGCAAACCAGTAGAGGAATGAGTACCTGAAGTGCTGGCAGTGAAATGAGAAGGTTGTGGTGCAGGAGCTCTGATTACAGCATTAGCATGATGGACATGTGGGGAAGTAGGTGGAGAGGGGGAGGCTGATGGGGTACTAGTCAACATGGCTTTCAGTTTATCAAGCTGATCAGGAGTAAACAGACTTGACAAACTATCAGTGGATAGCCTGGAAGGGTGACTAGTACCTCCACTGTCACTTCCTGTAGATTCAACAGCACCAGCAAAAGGAGCCCCATCAGAACCCTCTCTAGCCTTTTTGTTCTTTAGCCTGAAACACTCCTGGATAGTATGATTCTCCTTTTTACAGTATCTGCACCACTTTTTTCCTTCTGGAGTGTAATCTCTAGGATTCTTGCCTTGAGCACCTTGCTTAGACTGAGATTGAGACTGGGACTGAGAGCCATGGGCTAGCAAAGCCAAAGAGTTAACACCAGACTTGGAAGCAGACAACCCTTTCATCTGTCTTTCCAGCTGGACCATTTGCTTAAAAACAGATTCAATACTAGGCAACTGAGGATTCATAAGAACTTGAGTACGAGCAGATTGATAGACATCATTCAATCCTTGCATGAATTTAATAATGAAGTCATGATCTTGATATCTCTTCATAGTATAATAAGGGCTATTAGCACAGGGACAGCAAGTGATAGGCCTATACATAGAGTATTCCTGCCATTTAGTAGTCAAGGCTGTGTAATATTGAGTCACTGACAAATCCCCTTGAACACATTTGGCAATCTGCTCCTTCAATTCATAGACACGCATGTTATCTTCTTGTCCAAATCTGTCTCTCAGATTATCCCAAACTTCCTTAGCCACTTTGAAAGGCACAACACTATGAGCTATATCATCAGACAAGGAATTATATAACCAGCATCTCACAGTGCTGTCACAATGATGCCAGGATTGCCAAGTTGGGTCTCCCCTATTCGGCTGAAGAATGGCTCCATTCACAAATTCGAGTTTATTTTTAGTACTGAGGGCTAATTCCATTACCTGACTCCAGAGGTTGTAATTCTGGTCTGTCAACTTCATAGAGATGATGGTTGTTAAGCCACCATCGTGAGGAGGTAAATAGTAGGGATTCAGATAGGGATCCTCATATCGAGGTTGTTGAGCTGTGTGGAAAGACCCACCAAGTGAAATGGCGGCCGCTGCAGGTCCAGATCCAGCAGCAGCATAAGGCGGCGGATCTTGAGTAGTGAAATCGGCCGATTCTTAGCCATCAGAAACGACACCATCAACGCCAGTCACAGGATCAGCCATGGCTGAAGAAGGATGCTATGGAAAAAGTCTGTAACCAGCAAATCGAGTTGAGGAAAGCAGAGACCTAGTTGACGGAGCAACCAGGCTCTGATACCATGAGAAGAAAATGAGATTAGGGTTTTGTGTGAAGGGTTTCTCAACTTGAGAGCCTTCTGGGTTTGCATTTCCATATATATACAAAGTCTGTACAAAGTGTGAAGAAGAAGCCTGTGATTAGCAACGGCTAATGCACAGTAAAACAAAACAGAAAAACAAAATGACAAATGGAATATATACACGTGTTCCATTAGCCAACAGACAACGTTTAAACTCAAACAACTTCCTCTGGGTAATGGAACGACGGCGTTTCCACTCCAACCCCTGTTTCTGAGTAAAAGACAAACGGCGTCGTTCCATGCTGCATCTGTTTCCACGAAGGAAGTCTACTCCCCTGCACTTCATTGTTTCAGCAACCATCTTCTGATGCAGGGGAACTCGATGATGAGCATGGTTGCTGCTGAAGCTTGGGGTCAGCTGGGTTCTCCAATAAACAACGGTGGTGGAGTCGATGATAGAGAAGGATAGAGCGGAGATTTAGGGAAGATGTGAGTGACGTAAGAGATGGTGGAGAATTTTGATTCAGTGTCGGAGGCGTTGGAGATGTCGCACTAGATGTATTCGATTGGGTGGTCGGCGTTCCAATTGGGGTGAGGGGAGCAAGCTATGTCGTAGACCTTCCACGGACCACCAGGAGTGTCGGTGAGCGGGAGAATCTTGACTAAGCTGTTTCCCACGATTCCGGTGACGCCCACTACCAGGGCCATGCTCTAGTAACTTCGCAATGGCTCATCTTCATCGAGCTTCTTCTATAGGAAGAAAATGGGGAAAGAAGAACCAAGCCAGAGATGACCCAGTTTCAACTTGTCAAAACCGAAAATGGGATGGAGATTTGGAGACAAATTAAGGTTTATTGAGGTTAGCAAGAGATTACCTTAGCGGTTTCAATGGTGCCAACCCACCTCCAGTTCATTCTTTCTAATAGAGGATTGAGTAACTGTGGAAGATTGGGATGCATAAAGAAGTGAAGTTTGCTCAAAGGAAGGGTAAGTCAGAAGGAGAGTTGGTATTTATGAGCCTCGGTGGGGATTTAAGGGTGGCAGTGGCGCGGGGGGTTGGGAGTTGGAGGAGGAAGGTCGATTAACTAGATTTGAGGCTGACCATTCTCCACACGACGCAACAACGAGTTTCCAAAATGTGGCTACGAATGTATATTTTTCAAAAAGTGACTATCCTATACAACTACAAGTGAATTAAGCCTAACTTGAGGTAGGGGTGTACATGGGTCGGGTGGTCTGGGTTTAGCCATTTTAATCACCCGACCCATATACTACGGTTTAGGAAATATTAAACCCAAACCCACCCAAAAATATTAAAATCTTACGGTTTGTTTCTAATTGAGTTGGGTCGGGTTGGTGATATTCTTAAGTAAAAACCCAACCCAACACAAAATATGTAATTATTCTACACTATAAAAATATTTTATAACTAATTAAAATTTCAAATGAATAAACCGAGGTGAAAGGTATCAAAATTCACAAATTTTGTTTGAATTTTAATAAAATGTGATTTATTTCAACATATATCTAATTTTTTTCACGACATTTGTTGAAATAGGCCAAATGTGTTATAAACGAACGCATCCATAATCTGTTATTCTATTAAAATTGTACACAAGAAAAAGATTATATGAATCATAACTATATTAAATCTATGTCTAAACTTTAAGTCTAAGAATGCATTAGATTAGGGAGACCATGACAGAAAAATATGGCGAAATATCTTAATTTTCTAATAAGTGGGGAGTTCTACCCAGGGTGAAATCCGGGGTACCGCATACCTTGAGTAAGAAAACGTTATCCAGAACTTGAATTGGCTGATCTTTCGGACATTATATGTAAGGAAGTGGTTAAGCACCACACACGGACCTGTATAAGATCCAGCATAACCTTCTCTCAACAACTCGAGTTATTGGGACCAACTGGTTCTTGACATGGTATCAGAGCTGATTTGTCCGTGAGGTCACGTGTTCAAGTCCTCACGACCCCCAATATTAACCGTTGTCTTTCAAGCACATGGTATGGCGGGCCTGTGCAAACTTCAAGCCCATGAGTCGGCTTTCGTTTGAGGGGGCGTGTAAGGAAGTGGTTAAGCACCACACACGGACCTGTATAAGATCCAGCACAACCTTCTCCCACCCCCAATATTAACCGTTGTCTTTCAAGCACATGGTATGGCGGGCCTGTGCAAACTTCAAGCCCATGAGTCGGCTTTCGTTTGAGGGGGCGTGTAAGGAAGTGGTTAAGCACCACACACGGACCTGTATAAGATCCAGCATAACCTTCTCCCAACAACTCGAGTTATTGGGACCAACTGGTTTATGGCATGGTATCAGAGCGAAACTCGATCTTTTGTTAGGGTTCTGAGCTTCCGCTAGTCTTTGTCTTTTGTCTCCCCGTCTTCACCAATCATTCACGGTGTGCGAAGACTCCACCTCTTGCAACAATCAAAAAGAAGTTGCTGGTGGCATTCGACGTCATGAGACCAGCATCCGTTTCGTTCCTTCGTTCATCCAACAACAAGCGAGAGCCAGTAGCAGCTGACCATGAGTTTTCTGTTTTGCGCTGTCTGCATAGAAATACGTCAAGGTGCCGCATCCGTTTATCTCTCTGCTTCTTGATTGTGGATTTGTGGTTCATCTTTTCGTTGGCGTTGTCCTTGTCCCGCCTCCGAAGTTCAGTTCATCATGGTCAACACCTGCGATTAAGGTTTTGATTATGGGATTCAAGTCATTGTCTATGATGCTGAGATATATCTTGAGCTGCTTCATCATGTCCGAAGAAGAGTCAAGCTCGATAACCATCCCTCAGATGTCTGATTCAGAGTTCCTGAAAGTCATCATGGTGTCGTCCCAAGTCACCATCCGAACGAGCCATGGCGAAGTCCTTTATGCCATCACCATCGTACAGTCATGGCCACTGGTAAGCTCGGAGCGACAAAGTCATCATCTCCGACCAGTCACAGGCGATGTTGTCATTGTCGGGTCGTTCCGAAGTGCCGTCTCTGCCTTCGTATTCCAGTTCTGCTGTCGGTCCTCGATCTAGATCTCGGGCGCCATCGTCATCATCAGATCTCCTCACAGTCGTCGTCATCATCGTCGCAAATCGCCAGTTTCTCTGCTCTCTCCACCGTCTCAAGATCCAGGCCGCCGACCATCGCCATCGTCGATCTCGTCCGCGCGGCCCTTGTCGTTGCCCATAGTTCGCCGCAACCGTGTCGGCCATCAAAGTACCTTCTCTGTTGTCTGTTTCGTAAAAGAGTAGGAGAAGGGTTCCCTCCTTTCGGGCCTTCATCTCTTACGTCTTACCCACGAATGGGCTTCACCAGGTTGGGCCTCACTAAAATGAGCCCTTATGGTAGCTTACTTATCATACTTTCCGGCCTTGTGTAGTTGTGTTGGCAGTGGAGGAAATTAAAGTGGTTTTTCAGTTGGCCAGTTGTCATCAGTCCTGTACTTACTCTTTTCCATCATCATCGAGCATTGTTCAGTCAAAGGCAGCCACCGTTTGGAGTTTGTTCCGACGTTACAGACGAGTCATCTTCATAGTCCGACAGTAAGTCAATCTTACCAACATCAAAGTCATGGCGTTGAAGTCGACATGTCTTGGTCGTCCCTTCAATAGCTAGTGTTGGGGAGATAGAGCAGCTTCTGTCAACAAATTTTTCAAGTCATCCCGCGAGGTAGTCACGATCAAAGAAGCGATCGTTCCCTCCACGTTCAGCATCGGTCAATGTTGAGTCATCATTGTTCTAACTTTCAAGCTGGGCATTCACATTGTTCATGCTCCAGCTTGAGGGGGAGAATAGGGAGTCAACATACGTCGGTCGACTAGCTCAGTCATCAAGTCGACCGCGATGTACCAACTCAGTCACGTTGCTCGGAGAAGCACGGTCAGCAGTGCATTTAGAAGTCTCCAAAGTCAGCAACGCAGTCATCAGTCTCATCCAAGACATCAAGGAATTCCGCCATGCTGAGTTCATTGTCAAAGAACTGGGTCAAGCATGGAGTAGGATCAGTCTCATCCACGACGTCAAGGAGTTTTGCCAATGCTGAGTTCACTGTCAAAGAACTGGGTCAAGCATGGAGTAGTTTCGTCATTTGTCTACCTCTCCCACAAGTGAACAAAGTCACCGCCTGTTGGATCGTCATTGCCAGCAAGAGGTTGTTTGAGTGTTGTTCAGCTTCAAGCTCGACATTCTTGTCATTCATGTCTTCGCTTGAGGGGGAGTGTTGAGGATATTAATTACTTAGTCAAAATGTAATTAATTTCTTGTCCAACAAGTCCCTTGTTTCCTTGTCCGGGTAAAAGAGGGAACTTGGTTGTCTATAGGGTTTTAACCCTAAGTCGTTCTCTATAAAAGCTTAGCTATGGTTCTGTCATAAGCAAGCCGTCACAATGTAGTCCCTAATAAAATATCAGTCGTGAGCTCGTTCCGAGCTCACCGTGGATTAGTCTCGATCAATCGATCGAGGATACCACGTAAAATCTTGTGTTCTGTGTTCGTTTATTTCCGCGTCATCAAATTCTACATGATACTATACTCTAACCCTTAAAAATCAAAATCTAGGTCTTAATTCTCTAAATCTTATACCCCAAAATCAATTTAATTAGAAACAATAATCGACAGTTATGATTCGTCCAACTATAGGCAAAAAAATCAATGCACCATATGAGGGTTTATAGTTTATGATTTAGATAATTAGAACATATGGTTCACTCATTAAGGGGTTAGAGTATAGTATCATGCCCAAAAATCCTGCTAATTCGAGATCTAGATAGCGTTTTTATACTCAAGCTATCCGGTACCCCGAATTTCACCCGGGGTACCGTAGAAGGCACCTAAGTATGGTTATATATGACATAAATATTTTTTGGCTACAACTCATACTAATAGTTGGAACACGGGTTGAGTCGGGTTCTACGGGTTGTGTAATCCAAAATCCAAACCCAACCCAAAAGAGGCGGGTTGTACAAAAAACCCACCCAACCTAAAACCTTAGGCCCCGTTTAGTATCGATTTGTTGTTGTTGTGGTTGCAATGATGTTGTGTAAACAGATGTACAACCGCAACAGGAAAAAAACAGAAAACACAAACCTGTTTAGTTGATAATCTGAAAAATAATGAAAGCAGACAACAAGAAACAAAAACGCGTTCAATTACTACTATTAGAATTAAAAACCAGAAAAGAGAGGAGGCGGCGGCGGTGGCGGCGGGAAAGGATTCGAAGTCGGCGACGGGAATCGAGAGGAGGAGGCGGCAGGGGTTGCGAGGTCGGGCGATAGGGGAAAGGGAGGCGGCGGGGGCAAAGGGACGAAATCGACGACGAGGGGGAGATGGACGATATCGGCGGCCTGGGTCTCGAGAGGAAGAAGTTGAGAAAGGGAGGGAGCTGTTGGGCGGCGGGTTTGGGAGAAAATGAGTGTAGGGTTGGCCGACTAGGGTTTGGAGGTGGGTTTGGGAGTTAAAAAAAAAGAGAAATTTTTTGCTTTAGGTGGGATTCGAATTGAGGGTTGTTTTAATGAAAACAAACGGGAATCCCGTGTAAAACATGTACAAGAATCAAATCCAAAGCAATAAATTGTTGTTTCTCAAATTTGGGTCCTGTTGTGCAAATCTGATTCACAACAAAAAATAGAAACCCAACTAAACATGTTTTTTTTCTTGGTTTCTCCTATCTTGAAAAACACAACAGAAAACAAAAACATGCAACAATACTAAACGGGGCCTTAGTTTTAGCCATAAATACGTGTGGGTTGGATCGAATTGAACGGGTGGGTCGGTTTGCGGGTGTGTTTGAGGGACAACAAAATTAAATCATGAAAAGCCAAATAATAAGAAAAATATAAAATTTCAAAATGGTTTCGATTTTAGTGCTTTGATCGATCCGACGGTGAAAATTTGGTTATGTTCTAACCTGTACCTGCATAGTGCTATGCACCTGATGTTTGCCCTCTCTCTTACGTTCGCGACCTAGCTAGCTGAGTAGAACTCGTCTCTCTTTGTTCGAGTCGCAGTTTCTCAGCTTCGCACACAGCCTCCGCTCGAGTGAACTCCTGTTGTGGATTTGATTGGTTGAAGCTCGAATAAAGCATCTCGAAGTATGAGCGACTACGGCAGCGGAGGAGGTAGGCTAGAACGTAATGGTGCGGATCATGAGAAGGACGATTTCACTGGCGGTGGCGACCCTGACAATCTTGGCGATTCCAAATCCCAGGTCTTTACTTCTACAGTCAGTTTGTTCTAGTTTAGGTTTAAACATAATCGGATAAATTTGCTTGAATTTGTGGTGTGTTTATCCCATTTGGTCCTTAAATTGCTCGAATCTATGAAGTTGCTGTATTCCCACCGATAGAACTTGTTGCTTGCAGCGTGACTATGAGAGGGATTCCGTGAGAAGTAGAGATAGAGAAAGGGTGCGTGACAAAGGTAGGGATAGGGACAGAGACCGTGACAGGGAGAGGGATAAGGATAGGGAGAAAGATAGAGATATTGATCGACACCATAGAGGAGGAGGGCGTGATAGGAATCGTCACAGAGATGGCAATGACAGGAGAGAAAGAGGCCGAGATAGGGGCGAGGATGATAATCACCGGAGCAGAGACTATGACAGGTATTGTTGTTCCACACATATTGAACTAGTTTGCTTTTCTATATATTGGCTGTCAAAATCGCATCAATTGATATCTTTGGTGGTCTAAATGTTTAGCAGGCGAAGAGAAAATGATAGAGAGCGTGAAGATAGGCCCGGGCTTCGTTCTAAGTCTCCTTCGAGAGGTAGATCAAGGCAGAGATCGAAATCTCGTTCTCGGTCTCCCTCCAGTTCAGGATCACGTTCCAAGAGGTACCTACAAGCTATAATAACTAGTAATATAAAGAAAAAAAAAGGGTTGGTGTGAGGGGGTGGGGGGTCTAGATTATATAGCGTTGTTCCTTTGCTTACTCCTATGAAACTGATTATAGCAAAAGGGTGAGTGGCTTTGATTTGGCTCCTCCTGCATCTGCAATGGCTGCTGCTGTTGCTGCTGTCAATGCTGCTACTACAGGTACCCAGACAACTCTGTCTCTTAACTGCTATCTTTATTGGTTGTTTTAAGTACAATATGTAGTGGGTACCTTGCGTTATTGAATTCTGTTAAAGCACAAGTCCCAATTTCGTTTCTCAAAGGGGAAAATTAGAGCTTGAAAACAGTTCTTAAATGATATTGGTCACATTGGCTTGCTTTATATTTTATTCTTGGTTACTATGAAATTATTCTGGAACTGAGAGAGCTTTTGGTTTTTGTTGTGTTTTTGGTGTTTGTTTGTTGTTTCCGTGTCTTTGTTTTTGTTGTGAGAAGGAACTGTTGGGCTGGTTGCCCCACTGTGCTGACAATGGCTTATGAGCTGACACCCCATAGCTTAAATGTACAAAGAGGAATCAGGGCACCAGTTTGATGGTTGTTGTTCGTCTCTCAGCGGGAAACTATTGCCTGTTTTGGTAGTTTTGTGAATATTTCCTCCGAAACCTGCATCTTTAATATACCTTTTCCCCATCTTTTCCTTTACCTTTTCCTAACAGGTTAGTCTGCAGTTACAAAAAGGATATGTCAGTTTTGTCTATCGTTAATTATAGTTAAAGTTCATCTACAAGGTCTTCTAACTTTCGGCTCATTACCTTTGCAGGCCAAATTCCTGGATCCGCTCCTCCCATCCCAGGAATGTTTCCAAACTTATTTCCGACTCCTAATGGACAGGTATAGCTTACTCAATATTATAATATATTGATTATGCCTTTCTGTGGTTTGTTCTAATTTCATGTTGTGTATTTTAACACTAACAGTTTGGTTCTCTGCCTGTCATGCCGATTCAAGCAATGACTCAGCAGGTCTGTTTGTTTAAGATGCTTAATTACAGTGTATATCATGCTTCGACCTTGGTTTAATTTCTCTAGTTTTCCCCTGTTCATATGTTGTCTCCCATGCTTCCAGGCTACTAGGCATGCTCGGCGGGTCTATGTTGGAGGGCTTCCACCATCAGCCAACGAACAGGTAGCTATTCTTCATTTTTTTCTAGTAGATCTTCAGACTTTTTCCGCTCTGACATGCTCTATCATACTGCAGTCTGTAGCTACCTATTTCAGTCAGGTCATGGCAGCCATTGGAGGAAATACTGCTGGCCCTGGTATGTTGTTAATTTAATCATATGTTATTTTTGTTTTCATTGAAAGCAGTGAATCTGCCCTTGATTTTCCAGTCCCTGAACCTATTTGTTTGTTTTTATAAGGGGATGCTGTTGTAAATGTCTATATAAATCATGAAAAGAAGTTTGCATTTGTGGAGATGAGATCTGTTGAGGAGGCCAGTAATGCCATGGCTCTAGATGGAATTATCTTTGAGGTAGAAATCTGCTTCTTTGGAATCTTCATCTATGAGTTGTACAGTATGGTGTTGATATGGGCATCTACTGACTTATTCAGATCTTTTTTGAAATTTCAGGGTGCACCTGTCAAGGTACGTCGGCCTAGTGATTATAACCCCTCCCTGGCTGCAACACTTGGTCCTAGCCAACCCAGTGGTAACCTTAACCTTGCCGCGGTTGGATTAAGTCCTGGCTCTTCGGGTGGGCTCGAGGGTCCAGATCGAGTATTTGTGGGTGGGCTACCGTATTACTTCACAGAACCACAAATCAGAGAATTGTTGGAGTCTTTTGGGGCTCTTAGAGGTTTTGACCTAGTGAGAGACAGAGAAACAGGAAATTCAAAAGGATATGCTTTTTGTGTGTATCAAGATGTTGCTGTTACAGATGTAGCTTGTGCTGCTTTGAATGGAATTAAAATGGGTGATAAGACTCTCACTGTAAGGCGTGCCAACCAAGGCAGCAGCCAACCTAGACCTGAACAAGAAAGTGTACTACTACATGCCCAGCAGCAGATTGCAATACAGGTAATCATAGTCTGAATTTTTATTTTAGTTGCACATTTGTTTAATTTGGTCTTGTTTTACTGATGTTGGTTGTCTTTGTGCAGAGGCTTATGTTACAACCTCCAGCAACTAAAGTTGTATGCCTAACTCAAGTAGTTACTGTGGACGAGCTCAGAGATGATGATGAGTATGAAGAGATAATGGAGGACATGAGAACAGAATCCAGTAAATTTGGTATCATCTTTTAACCCTACCATTCCTGAGTTAATGAGAACAAAAAAGATCTGTCAAGTGATTTGTTTTGTTTTGTATCTTGTGGTTTGTATGTTTTCCAGCATCTTGTAGTCCTACGGTCTGCTATAGAGAACCAGCCCTAAGATACAGCGACAGAAGGCTGCTTAATCTCCTCTTATTATATATGCAATGGACTGTCTATGTATTTGTGTTTTGGCTTGGCATATTTTCATGTTCTTAATGCAGGTACATTGGTGAATGTGGTCATCCCCCGCCCACAACCGGATGGTAGTGCTTCTCCTGGTGTTGGAAAGGTAAGTTAAAGACTGTTACAATGTTCTTATTGATGGTTGATTACTGTCTTTTGAGACTGTTGTAGAGTTGTAGCTGATAGAATTCTTGTTATTGTGCGGAAATACAGGTGTTCCTGGAGTACGCAGATGTTGATGGTGCAACAAACGCCCGAGCAGGTATGAACGGGAGGAAATTCGGCGGCAATGAGGTGGTGGCTGTGTTTTATCCAGAACACAAGTACAATGCAGGAGAGTACGATGGCTAATGCCATTGGATGGGAACTCTACAACTCTGCCGAATGTTTGTTGGATTGTGTACTTTTGTTTTAGTTTCTTCGTCAGTAGAGCTGTAGGCGGCTGATGAAGATTGATGATGTGATCATTTTAGCCTCTGAATGATGATAATATTATTATATGTAACTTGATGATTACTACTACGCTCTGTCTAGGCTCTCTCACCAACTCCCAAGTCCCAACTGTGTAATTGCTTCTCTTTTTTTGTTCCTAGAATGAATTTCAAGACACAGAAAAGCATGTAGCAATGGAGTTGCAAGTCTGCAGCAGATGTTTGTTTACTATCTAGTCTTTCCCAACACATGCATCATTGCATCCGAGATAGAAGAAAGAAAAAATTTGGAATTGGTTCTCTAAGTACCATGCTCCACTCCCATAATGTTGTTGACAAATTAAGTTTAGGTGAGGAGATGTAAGTACTCTCCTTTGCAAGATTCCTTTGAGTGGGTTGTTCTTGTCTTCTCTTTGTCGCGTAATCATCTATGAGTCTTTAATCAAAGTATGGTGTAATCAACACTAATTGCAGTCAATAGGAGGGATGATAACACTCAATTTGTATTGTGTTAATACTAACTGTAATCAATAATAATAATTCGTTTTGATGAATTTTTTATATTTAAGGGTTGATCACGATTAATGCAGATTTTTAACGGATGGACAAATTTGTCATTTGAAAAAATTATGGGGTGAACACGCTTGTGTTGCTGCTCATTTATTCAGCGTATAATCCTTAGCCGCTAACGACCACAAGTCTCATAAAACAAACAAGAAAAATGCATACTAGAAACACGACAAACCATACCTGACAAAACATAAATAGACCATAAAGAATACAAGAAAATATAGAAAGTTGAACACAAGTTTTCTAAAGCATATAAGAAATTATAGACCATACGACCATCTTTAATGATTAGATCCAAAAGTCCAAAATTTGAGGCTATAATTCAAATTCTAGCCCCTCAAAAGGTGCTTTGGCATTAGTAGTGTGTTTCAAAAGTCCAAATTTCCAGATTTGCGCTTTAACTCATAATCCAGTTTTGTATATATTTCATCATTCTAATTACAAAATTTGTTCATTAATTTTATAAAGGTATTAATGATTAATTAAGACGAACATTTCGACAAATTTTTTTTGAATTCCGACCAAAAAAAATTATTTGTAAATATGACTTAATTAATGACGATCTCTTGTTTGGACCGAAAGAGCCTTTGGAGGAGATTATGAGTACTAAAAGGTAAATTTGTTTTTTTTTATTATTATTAAAGCTCTTTTTGGCAGGTGGGCCTGTCTGCTTTTCCCCCATGTGGCCACACTATCTTTTGGAACCTTTTGTCCTTTTCTGTGCCAAATTTGGACCCAATTTTTGGATCAATTGGAACTTTTGGCCTTTAGGAACCTTACTAAAGTGGGTCTGGACCAATTTTTTTGAATTCCAGCCCACCACTAAAGTTGGTCTAAAGCATACTAGAAAATATAGAAAGCTGACCACAAGTTTCTTAAAGCATATCAGAAACCTCACAAAGCTTCCACAAGTTTTTAAAGCATGCTAGAAACTTCACAGAGCTTACCACAAGTTCGTTGAAGCATATAGAAAAACCTAATAAAGTCGACTACAAGTTCCTTGAAGCAAACCAGAATCCTCATAAACCCGAGAACAAGTTTCGTAAACCATACCGAAAACCTCAAAAAGCTGAACACAAGTTCTCTGAAACATACCCAAAACATCATTAAACATGTCCACAAATTCCTTGAAGCAGACCAAAAAAACTCATAGAGCTTACAACAAGTTCCATGGAAGCAAACCACAAATATGTGCAACCACACTCTCGTAAAGCATACAAAATGACGAGAAACCACACCAGAAACCTTACAAAGCGAACCAGAAACATCATAAAGGATGAAAAGGTAATATTTTTTTTATAATGATAATATAAATTTTTTACAAGTAACCCTCTGATATTTTTTACACACAGGGAAAAAAGTAGGGTGGATTGTGTGTGGAGTAGTGATGGCAATATCAACCCGCCCCACGGGTATTACCCGACCTGATCCGCGATGGGGCGGGTATTACCCGACCCGCAGTAGCGTGGGGTGGGGCATAGGTATCAACTTCCGACCCGTCTTGCCCCGCCCCGTTCTAGACTCATTTTATCTCAATTTCTTACAATATCTATACATATTTCTCCTATTTTGACTTTTCTTCAACTAGTTAGAGTCGATCTTTCAACTTGTTAGGCTCAATTATCCATTCTATATCAATATTTTTCCTTCTTAAAGTATTTTTCCTACGTTTTATTGTAAAAAGTAAAATTTACTTGTATTTTTTTTTTTGAACAACATGTAAGAGTGGGTCGACCCGCCCCGCCCCGTCCCCACGCGGGTTTTACCCGCCCCGACCCGTAGTAGCGTGGGACGGGACATGGGAATTGAGGTACCCGTCCCGCCCCATTGCCATCACTAGTGTGGAGGCAGGGGGCAGAGAGCAACGGGAGGAGGACAATGTGGAGGAAGAACATACTATATACAGTAGTTATTATAATACTCTTATTAATTATTTTTAGCATGGTGCTAGCATATAGGATGTTATAATAGGAATAGAGTATTATCGGGTACTATTTGTTTTGGGATTTTGAAAAACTATTTATGAGTTTAGGGTTTCCGTTGGTTCTGGGTTTCTTTGGCATTTTATGTGGATTTTTTAGAAGATAGTGACGTCTCTAGAGAGATCTGTAGCAGAAAAATTATCGAGTATATCACATGCATCGACAGCGGGAAGGAGGTTCTGGTTTCCATCGTGGATCTCCATGTCAAGTTAGATGGAGGAGGATTGCAGGAGGTGTTAGTAACGGAACAACGGGAAGAACGAGGTTATCGAATCTGGAGCTGAGTCACGGATTAGGTCGCTCTCTATAAGACGTTCGCGGCACTGCCTTCGATGCGCACGGCAGACTATCAACCGGTCGTCTCCAGGATAAAACAGCTCCTCTCAATACTCGCGGTTTTGTGCGAAAACCGGAGCTCTCTGAACACTCTTTCTATTGTGTTTATGCTCGTTTTGATGTGATTAGAGGGGCTGGGGAGGCGGCTATTTATAGGAGCCGAACCCCTAGGAATATACCCTCTTGCTTGGGGAATAAGTCGGATTAATTAAGGAAGATAATTACTTCCTTAATTAAAACCGTCGGTTAAGATAAACCCGGAGGGATTATCCTTCGAATATTCCTTTTTAGTCGATTATCCTTAGAATATTCCTCAGAATAACCGATTAATAATTAATTATTAGATAATTAATTTCGTTCGGAATTTCTCCAAAAATATATTGTAGTCTCAAGTGAACCAACCAACCAACCGACCGGTCGGACGGACAGCACGCGCGCGCGCATGTGTGTGTGGTGGTCCGTTAGGTCCTCCCTCTCCCACAAAAGTGGGTCACCCCAAGGGGCATTGCCCTTAGGAGAGAGGCTCCTATCTTTATACTCTCACCAAGTAAAACTACCAATGTGGTAGTTTTTCCACTCGAGACTCTATAGCTTTCAAAGCTATTCATATACATTTCCAACAATCCCCCACTTGAATAGTTTTGAAACTATCTCTGAGCATCAACAGTTCCATAAGATCGAGCATAAGCTAAGGTATCACGAAGATTTGAACCTTAGCGTAGTGGTTACACTTCCGATTTCATAAGGGTGACTCGTAGTCTTGAACCCTATCTCAGAAAGTGTAGCACACCAGATCTTTTCATTGAGTTGTGTTCTCTTCATAGCCCGTGCGTTTTATGGCCATGCACGTTATCCTGGTTTAGTGAACGCTCTAGCAACTTTGTGCCTCCAAAGTTCCATAGGGAGCGGCCCCACTCCCACATTCACATAGGCGAGTCTATCAAGAGTACCCCCAAAGTAAAGTACTCCACCCCACATAGGGTATAGATCTCATTAAGAGTTATTAACTCAACCTCCATTGCTTTGGGATTCATGCTACACTATGCATGAACTTTTCGCATACTACTCATGACTTGTTATTACCCATTGAACCCATTTCTTGGGATCTCCAGTCTATTGGGTCGGGTTATCATCACTTGTAGTCCGTGGTTCGGTAGGCATAAGTCCCATACCCTTGGCAGTATTTTGGACTTTCTCTCTAGGTAATCCTTTCGTCAAAGGATCAGCTAGATTCTGTTCGGATCTTATATGATCCACCCTCACTGCTCCTATCGTTAGGAGTTCTCTTACAGTACTGTGCTTACGACGAATCTGTCGTTTCTTTCCGTTATAGAATCGGTTCTCAACTTTAGCGATAGCTGCGGTACTATCACAATGGATCAATACCGGAGGGACCGGCCTTTCCCATAGGGGAATCTCTAACAACAATCCTCTCAACCAACTAGCTTCTTCGCTAGCTGTTGCTAGTGCTATCATCTCTGATTCCATAGTTGATTGAGCTAGGATTGATTGTTTCTTTGACTTCCAAGACACAGCTCCACCAGCGATGTTAAAAACATACCCGGTTGTTGCCTTGGAGTCATCTGATAGGGTATTCCAATCCGCATCACTATACCCTTATAGTACAGCAGGAAACCTTTGATAGTGTATACCAAGGTTTGCTGTTCTCTTGAGGTATCTCATGATCCTCTCTATAGCATTCCAATGTTCCCTACTAGGACAGCTGTTAAACCTGCCAAGCAATCCCACGACATATGCAATGTCTGGTCGAGTGTAATCCGCTGCATAACGGAGACTGCCAATGATGCTAGCATATTCTGATTGTCTTACACTGTCTCCAGTGTTCTTAAATAGCTTTACACTAGCATCATACGGAGTACACGCAAGTTTACAGTCGAAATAGTTATATTTCTTCAAGATCTTCTCTATGTAGCTAGATTGATCTAGAGAATAACCATTTGCTGTTCTAGTTATCTGGATTCCAAGCATAAACTTTGCTTCTCCCAGATCTTTCACCTCAAAGCTCTCTTTCAACATGGCTTTTGCTTCATTGACCACGTGAATATTTGTACCAAATATCAACATGTCATCTACATACAAACATATGATAGTGCAAGTGTTATTTTCTGACTTGCAGTAAATACACTTGTCACTTTCATTCACCTTAAAGCCATGTGAGAGAACGAGAGTGTCAAACTTCTCATGCCACTGTTTTGGAGCATGTTTCAAACCATATAATGATTTGTCTAACTTACAGACTTTCGAGGCATGTTCGGGGACAACAAACCCTTCTGGTTGTTCCATATAGATTTCTTCATCCAGATCACCGTTCAAATAAGCGGTCTTAACATCCATTTGGTGTACCACGAGATTGTTCAAGGCAGCAAGATTCTTGATACTGGTGAATAG